TGGATACGTTACTTTTGACACGTTTCGTCTGACTCGTGTCTCTGTGTTTCGGCTGACTAAATACACCTTTCGAATGTCTACATGGTCAACGTTAGCCTTTTTCCCAATCAATCTCATAAGCCAAGTCGATGATTTCTCACTAATCAACATTCTACAACAATAGAAATGTCGTAGCGTGAACAATTGCATAAGGCACAATTTTTTATTTTATTTTTATTTTATTTCTTCAACACTTTATTTTCCTAATCACACAAATAGGGCTGGTCCCAAAAGGTCGACTTATGCAAGTTTTATGTACTTTCTAAATTATGCAAACAACGTGACAGAATCCAGGGAAAGTGAAACACCCCCGCCCCCACTTTTTTGAAACAAACACTACATAGAAGGATGCCTGTCGTCTGTGCCCCCCTTTTTTTTTTATACAAAACTGGATCGACTCGACTCGGACTCGACTCGGGGGGCGGGGGGGGGGGTCGGGGGGCGGGGTGGCCGGTGGGGGTCGGTCGGGGGTGTGGTGGTGGGGGTTGACTCGACTCGGTGGCGCACTCGACTCGGACCGGAACTCGACTCGCGGACTCGGGGGTTGCGGACTCGGACATCGGTCTCGGACTGGGTGCGGACTCGACTACAACACTGTGGCTAACACCCTATTCACTGCGACCGGCTGATTAACAACTGCAATAACATCAAGTAACCGTGAAGCTATAGTACACGACGTGTCATGCCTTAACACCTACATGGAATAACATCAGGTAACCCTGAGAGTATATACAGCATGCCCTGCCTTTAAAATGGTGGGCGATAACATCAAGTAACCATTAAAGCTGGTCAGGGGGGAAAACGCTGCTCTTTCTTGTCACATGCATAAATCAAGTAACATGTGAAATTCTAGTAACTACGGCGTGCTTGCATAAAACATTCGCGATAACATCAAGGAAAAGCAAGGTTAGTAACAGATGCAAAGTTTACATTTGAAACATGAAAACGTACCCTCCTTTTGCACGCCTACCTCTGTACGAAATGAACATAAGCCCCCCCCTTTAAAAAAATAAGAGATGCATTAAATTCGATCTCTCCTCCTATCCCGACACATCTACCTACACCACCTTTAAGCCTTCGACGCATTCATGGCCACTCGAGAAGGGAGATTGCGGTGCGAGCCGACCATGACTCTCGGATGGCGGGCCGCTCACGCCCGCCACAGCCCGCGCACGCCGTACTCACGTAGACCTTGCAATAGCTTGCAGCATGCCCGTTGTCTGGCTGGAACCCACGCTTACTCTCGTCGGCACCGCACTGAAAGGCTGCGTCTCCCTGCAAGCATACATTAGATGCGATTAGCGGTAGATTTCCGGCACACGGGGGATAGGGATGTCACTATTAATGGCCACAGAGCGAAAAATTGTGAACATTAATATGCATATTATAAACCCGATTCACATCAATTTACGAAAAACGAAATTCAACAGCGATTAACTCATCAAGGCTGCTATATCAACTAACAGCGTAGAAACATCAGCAAACACAGATAACCACTAAATACCATTCATTCTCCATTTTCGATCATTTTGTTGACCAGTGATTCGGAATACACTGATTCGACTTTTACAGTTAAAAAATACACTTTTATTATTATTACTATTATCTAGCATAATATAATTCATGATAATTTTAATTACTGTAATTTCTCTATATATCGTTTTTGATAATTGCGAAGTTTAACAATTAGCCTACGCATTACACTGGGCTTCACCACGCGTCGCTCCACTGCCGACATCGCACCAGCACAAATTTTCCACAGCGATGGCTTCCGGCGCCGAATCTGCGGTAAGCCTAGGTTCTTGATCGACTGAAGCACACGAGTCGGACACCGTTCATTGAAAACTGGTACTCAGAGTGCGGGTACTAATCCTTCTACAAGCAGTAATCCCGTCCACGCTACCGATGTGTAGAACGCGCTGGCGAACGACTTGCGTACTGCGCACATAAGCCTTCAACCTTTGAGCATCGCCTATGCAGTTGAAATCGTCTTGACCGACTCGAGGGATGTGAGCAACCTGCACACACGCCCAAGCCTCGAAGAGAAACTCCTATACCATATGTGGCTTGCTGCCTGGCCGGAACCTGACTTAGGGCCATATCACCGAAATTGAACGACCTGATATCGACTGACAGCCTATAGGCTAGCTAGCAGCATCCTAGGCATCCTTAGCAGTTACCTTAGTAACAGCCAATCCTGAGTATGTAAGGAACTCAGGAGTAGAGTACAATGACGTAAACCGATCCAGTACTCTCACGACGTTACTCGTAGGACTCTCGTCGAACGTCTACACGTCGTAGACTCTCGCCTAACGTAGTGTTAACGAGAAGGGAAACTGTGCATACTAATAGTACTAACAACGTCAGACTAACGCGCTCTCGCAGTTAAATTCGCACATCATAAATGACAATGTTGGAAAATGTGCATCTGTGCCTTCCCCCCCTATTACTGATGTGACTCCTGAGACGGTGACTCATGGTCGTGAACCGACGCTCAGCCATCGCGCTCCTGGTAGACCATAGGACAAAACTCCAACCCAAACTCCACGACAGATGGCCTCTGCTCATGGTCAATTTTCGTCAAAATTTCAGTGGTGCACAATCCGCCAAACCTGCCAAATGTCGCACCCTAAAATGACTAGATTAGTTGAACCACGTTGAAAAAACCGTTGAAAAATGTTCGCATAGTCCTATACCCGGCCCAGGTATCATGACTGCGCTGTCAGAATATTCACACTGGTGGGGTGTGCCCACCACGCCCCAAATAATCCCCCCCCCCCCATTATTTATCAGATAGACGGAAAGGAAAACCACTGATCCATCGACCAGCTTGCTATGAACTAATTTTATGTTTTGATTTGCAGATACTGGAATCTTCCCACAAATCTCCAATCGACAAAAATTCGATTGATGAAACAACATGTTCCTATATATAGCACTTTTTCAACC